AGATTCTGAGTCATCTATAGCTAGTTTAATTGAAAACGATGTGGAGCAAAAATCAATAGAACAACCTTTGATATCTGCTTTATTAAACTCGGAGCCTGTCTCAATACCTTCATTAGATGAACGGTTAAATTCACCAAGCGCGGGAGGATTTTTTAGTTCTTGGATACCAGTGTTTGGATTTTCGACGAATTCTGTTAAATCACAGGACACTCCAGAATTCTACGTCGAAAAATTAACACAACGGTATCGTCATTTGTAACACGTTGCTCCTTTGCAGTTCATATGAGCATGTCAAATCTAAGAGTATATGTTTTAATCTTTTCTGAAGAAACATTGCTGCGAAGTCGTTGGCAGAACGGTTGCAGTCCCTGCGAGTGACTTTATCTACCGCAAAACTTTCTTGGATTAAAAATTTTATTGATTGTAAAGGATTGGCGGCGCTGGAATTCGTTCTAGAAAGATATACAATCGGAATAAAGAAGAAGTTCGTTTTCGATTATCAATTCTAAGATTAATTCTCTTGTCTAATTTAACATATTTCATTGTTGTAGCATGTCCCGAAACACCGATCATGATGGCCGAATACAATCCGAGTGTGTTCGTTGTCTAAGAGTTTTATTAAATACAGAAGTAGGTTTTTTTTTATCCGTTGGCTATTTTAATCACAGCTATTATTTATTAAATTTTTTTTTAACTAGCTTGGGTATAACCAAGTTTCGAAATCTTCTTCACTTATTAATTGCATAGTTTTCTGCATGCATACACCAAATAATAAACTTCGTTCGCAAGTAGCTGATGTTTTGGCAGCGTTATGCGTTCTTTCACTTGAAGGGCATAAGTTGGTCTTAGATGCTTTTTCGGATTTTCGTCAGGTTCACGAAGAAAAATTTCGGTTTCAATATTTGATGAACACTTTGAAAATTGGTGAAACAGAGGACAGCGTTTCAATGGAATACAAATCAGCATGTTTGAGCTTAGTAAACGCTATAGTGACATCGCCGGAAGATGTCGAGGAACGCATGATGCTTCGTAAGGAATTTGAAAGGCGAGGTTTAACAGATCTTTTTTTGGTAAGTAATGTTGCAACTTTTTTTTCCTTTTGGCAGCTCACCATCGATTTTTATAATTATAACAGAAAATAACCTTTGGGAATACAGTCAATTAAAAGCTCGGATCCACCAGAATC